TAGCGTCATCCTCCATCACTTCCCCATCTTCCAAAGCTCTTTGGCTAGCGTCATCCCTCCATCACATCCCCATCTTCCAAAGCTCTTTGGCTAGCGTCATCCCTCCATCTCTTCCCAATCTACCAAAGCTCTTTGTCTAGCGTCATCCCTCCATCTCTTCCCCATCTTCCAAAGCTCTTTGGCTAGCATCATCCTCCATCTCTTCCCCATCTTCCAAAGCTCTTTGGTTAACGTCATCCCTCCATCTCTTCCCCATCTTCCAAAGCTCTTTGGTTAACGTCATCCCTCCATCTCTTCCCCATCTTCCAAAGCTCTTTGGTTAACATCATCCCTCCATCTCTTCCCCATCTTCCAAAGCTCTTTGGTTAACGTCATCCTCCATCTCTTCCCCATCTTCCAAAGCTCTTTGGTTAACGTCATCCCTCCATCTCTTCCCCATCTTCCAAAGCTCTTTGGTTAACATCATCCCTCCATCTCTTCCCCATCTTCCAAAGCTCTTTGGTTAACGTCATCCTCCATCTCTTCCCCATCTTCCAAAGCTCTTTGGTTAACGTCATCCTCCATCTCTTCCCCATCTTCCAAAGCTCTTTGGTTAACGTCATCCCTCCATCTCTTCCCCATCTTCCAAAGCTCTTTGGTTAACGTCATCCCTCATCTCCCCCCCCCATCTTCCAAAAGCTCTTTGGTTAACGTCATCCTCCATCTCTTCCCCCATCTTCCAAAGCTCTTTGGTTAACGTCATCCTCCATCTCTTCCCCATCTTCCAAAGCTCTTTGGTTAACGTCATCCCTCCATCTCTTCCTCATCTTCCAAAGCTCTTTGGTTAACGTCATCCTCCATCTCTTCCTCATCTTCCAAAGCTCTTTGGTTAACGTCATCCTCCATCTCTTCCTCATCTTCCAAAGCTCTTGGTTAACGTCATCCTCCATCTCTTCCTCATCTTCCAAAGCTCTTTGGTTAACGTCATCCTCCATCTCTTCCTCATCTTCCAAAGCTCTTTGTTTAACGTCATCCCTCCATCTCTTCCCCATCTTACAAAGCTCTTTGGCTAGCGTCATCCCCCATCTCTCTTCCCCATCTTCCAAAGCTCTTTGGCTAACATCATCCCCCATCTCTTCCCCATCTTCCAAAGCTCTTTGGCTAACATCATCCCCATCTCTTCCCCCATCTTCCAAAGCTCTTTGGCTGAAGCGTCATCCTCCATCTCTTCCTCATCTTCCAAAGCTCTTTGGCTAGTGTCATCCTCCATCTCTTCCCCATCTTCCAAAGCAAATGGCTTCAATCATCTCCATCTCTTCCCCATCTTCCAAAGCTCTTTGGCTAACATCATCCCCATCTCTTCCCCATCTTCCAAAGCTCTTTGGTTAGCATCATCCCCCATCTCTCTTCCTCATCTTCCAAAGCTCTTTTGCTAGTGTCATCCTCCATCTCTTCCCCATCTTCCAAAGCTCTTTGGCTGGCGTCATCCTCCATCTCTTCCCCATCTTCCAAAGCTCTTTGGCTAACATCATCCCCATCTCTTCCCCATCTTCCAAAGCTCTTTGGTTAACATCATCCCCATCTCTTCCCCATCTTCCAAAGCTCTTTGGCTAGCATCATCCTCCATCTCTTCCCCATCTTCCAATGCTATTTGGCTAGCGTCATCCTCCATTCTTCCCCATCTTACAAAGCTCTTTGGTTAGCGTCATCCTCCATCTCTTCCCATCTTCCAAAGCTCTTTGGTTGTCATCCTCCATCACTTCCCCATCTTCCAAAGCTCTTTGGCTAGCGCCATCCCCCATCATCCCCATCTTCCAAAGCTCTTTGGCTGGCGTCATCCCTCCATCTCTTCCCAATCTACCAAAGCTCTTTGTCTAGCGTCATCCTCCATCTCTTCCCCATCTTCAAAGCTCTTTGGCTAGCATCATCCTCCATCTCTTCCCCATCTTCCAAAGCTCTTTGGTTAACGTCATCCCTCCATCTCTTCCCCATCTTCCAAAGCTCTTTGGTTAACGTCATCCCTCCATCTCTTCCCCATCTTCCAAAGCTCTTTGGTTAACATCATCCCTCCATCTCTTCCCCATCTTCCAAAGCTCTTTGGTTAACGTCATCCCTCCATCTCTTCCCCATCTTCCAAAGCTCTTTGGTTAACGTCATCCTCCATCTCTTCCCCATCTTCCAAAGCTCTTTGGTTAACGTCATCCTCCATCTCTTCCCCATCTTCCAAAGCTCTTTGGTTAACGTCATCCCTCCATCTCTTCCCCATCTTCCAAAGCTCTTTGGTTAACGTCATCCCTCCATCTCTTCCCCATCTTCCAAAGCTCTTTGGTTAACGTCATCCCTCCATCTCTTCCTTCCCATCTTCCAAAGCTCTTTGGTTAACGTCATCCTCCATCTCTTCCCCATCTTCCAAAGCTCTTTGGTTAACGTCATCCTCCATCTCTTCCCCATCTTCCAAAGCTCTTTGGTTAACGTCATCCCTCCATCTCTTCCTCATCTTCCAAAGCTCTTTGGTTAACGTCATCCCTCCATCTCTTCCTCATCTTCCAAAGCTCTTTGGTTAACGTCATCCCTCCATCTCTTCCCCATCTTACAAAGCTCTTTGGTTAACGTCATCCTCCATCTCTTCCTCATCTTCCAAAGCTCTTTGGTTAAGTCATCCTCCATCTCTTCCTCATCTTCCAAAGCTCTTTGGTTAACGTCATCCCTCCATCTCTTCCCCATCTTACAAAGCTCTTTGGCTAGCGTCATCCCCCCATCTCTTCCCCATCTTCCAAAGCTCTTTGGCTAACATCATCCCCCCATCTCTTCCCCATCTTCCAAAGCTCTTTGGCTAACATCATCCCCCCATCTCTTCCCCATCTTCCAAAGCTCTTTGGCTAGCGTCATCCCTCCATCTCTTCCTCATCTTCCAAAGCTCTTTGGCTAGTGTCATCCCTCCATCTCTTCCCCATCTTCCAAAGCAAATGGCTAGCGTCATCCTCCATCTCTTCCCCATCTTCCAAAGCTCTTTGGCTAACATCATCCCCCCATCTCTTCCCCATCTTCCAAAGCTCTTTGGTTAGCATCATCCCCCCATCTCTTCCTCATCTTCCAAAGCTCTTTGGCTAGTGTCATCCCTCCATCTCTTCCCCATCTTCCAAAGCTCTTTGGCTAGCGTCATCCTCCATCTCTTCCCCATCTTCCAAAGCTCTTTGGCTAACATCATCCCCCCATCTCTTCCCCATCTTCCAAAGCTCTTTGGCTAACATCATCCCTCCATCTCTTCCCCATCTTCCAAAGCTCTTTGGCTAGCGTCATCCCGCCAACTCTTCCCCATCTTCCAAAGCTCTTTGGCTAGCGTCATCCGCCATCTCTTCCCCATCTTACAAAGCTCTTTGGTTAGCGTCATCCTCCATTATTTCCCCATCTTCCAAAAGCTCTTTGGCTAGCATTATCCTCCATCTCTTCCCCATCTTCCAAAGCTCTTTGGTTAGCGTCATCCCTCCATCTCTTCCCCATCTTCCAAAGCTCTTTGGCTAGCGTTATCCTCCATCTCTTCCCCATCTTCCAAAGCTCTTTGGCTAGCGTCATCCTCCATCTCTTCCCCATCTTACAAAGCTCTTTGGTTAGCGTCATCCCTCCATTATTTCCCCATCTTCCAAAGCTCTTTGGCTAGCGTTATCCTCCATCTCTTCCCCATCTTCCAAAGCTCTTTTGCTAGCGTCATCCCTCTATCTCTTCCCCATCTTACAAAGCTCTTTGGTTAGCGTCATCCCTCCATCTCTTCCCCATCTTACAAAGCTCTTTGGTTAGCGTCATCCCTCCATCTCTTCCCCATCTTACAAAGCTCTTTGGTTAGCGTCATCCCTCTATCCTTTTCCAATCTTACAAAGCTCTTTGGCTAACGTTATCCTTCCATCTCTTCCCCATCTTCCAAAGCTCTTTAGCTAGCGTCATCCCTCCATCTCTTCCCCATCTTCCAAATCTCTTTAACCAGCATCTTCCTCCATCTCTTCCCCATCTTCCAAAGGTCTTTGCTTAATGTCATCCCTCCATCTCTTCCCCATCTTCCAAAGGTCTTTGGCCAGCATCCCCACCCCATTAAAAACCTCTGATCTTTCAACATTCTTCTTTTCCTTTGATAGAAGCAAAGCTCAGGTTACTTTTTTGATAATATGTGGCAGGATTTTCCCATGAAGCCTCCATATTGATGGGCCTACATGAACAGTTTTATCTGATAACATGTAATTCTTTGAAGAATCCAATGCATTCGTCACCCACATTCACTTCAAAACAGTATTCACTTTTATCATGCTTATCATCTTGGTTCAATTAGGTGATGATATCTTGTTTGCATTTTCAACATATTTTGCTAACTTTTTAAGCAGCTTCAGTTTTTTCATATTCTTTTTTCTGTTCTTGGCGCAAGTGAGTATCTTTAACCAGTACAATACCAATATCACTGCTTTTCCAAATAGCATCCCTTACTTGAGGCATTAAATGCACAGGTTATATTGATCTTGCACAATCTGCATGGCTTAACATATATTGATTTCTGAGATTCTGAATGCTACTGAGTTGATGCTTCAAAAAGAAGGGTTCTATTTGGAATTCATTCCCTGTAGGTTACCCATATTATTCCTTCTTTACTTACTAAGTTAACCCATGCGTTACATCCTGCTATTACTTCAGTTGAATAATAGATCATTGCATTGTGAGACAGAAGAGAGACAGAAGAAAAAGATATATCAGAGATGCTGTTTGGTTTTAGTGGAAAAAAATGTTTTTTGCTTAGCAGCATATCAATTTTAATCGGTTATTTAATGCCAAAGTCTAATTCTGTACACCATTATATTTTGGGAGATAATAATGGTTTAGTAGTACAATTAACCCATAGCTTAGGGAAGAAGTGTTGGATTGATACCTTTGCCAAGGATATTTGCACATAAGTGAATATAATGAACCCAACAGGATTTAGAACTCAACTCTCCAATTAACAATTCGGAGCCATTATCCATCACACCACCCACAAATCCAAGCTTACAGCACCTGGTATTCCCAAGCAATCACCCATCTAGGTATTAATGCAGGCTCAGTGTTGCTTAACTTCAGTGATTGTATGGGAACCAGTGTTTCAATGTGATGCCGCCATAAACCTAGTGGAGAAAAGAAAGCATACGTAAGAATAAGAAAGAAAGAAGGAGTAGATAGAGGAGGCGATAAGGCTCTCATGTGTTTAGCGTCTGCTTCACTGAAATGGAAAACATTTTCAATTTTTAATATTTTCATTTGTACCCTCTTACATCTTTAAATAATGACCTGCATTCATATTCATGATTGTTATTGCAATATTTGGTTAAAATTGTTAAGCTCAAATATATAACAATGCAATAGGAGAATTTTCACAGATATTTTATAGTTGTGAAACTCACAAGAAGCTTATTCAAGCATTTAGTTAAGAATTATGATTCATCAGAAAATTCAAATAGGAAAACTGAAATTTTCATGGGCCCTGTTGGTAAATATTTAATTTAATATGGCTCAGTAGAAAATTAATTATTTAAATTCTTATTCATTCAATTAAAAAAAAAAGCTTTATTGATATTTTTGGATTTATGAAAAGATGGAGTGAAGGTCACATATCAACCCACATCTTATTTGAAAATTGGCTTTTTTTATCTGAATATTGTTAGAGGATTTACCAATTGAATATTAATAAAACCACACAGGCATCAGACCATATGTTTGAAAATGTTAATTTTCTCAGTTGTTTTTGTTTTTCTTCAATTTTAATTACTGTATGATGTTCCACGTTGAGGAATGTTTTTTTTTTTTTTCAGGGTACAAAATATCATTTTAAACATTGACCACCTCACTTCTCTCTCACACATATATTTAATTTGATCTTTGAAGTTGATTCTGTTTTGAGGAATTATCTTACATATTAATGATTGTTATTTAATATTCTCAGGACCAAGTTATAGCTATATTGATGCCTTAATAACAACAAGACCTAGAATTGCCATTATTATTATTATTATTTTTCTATTAATGTTTTTATGGTAATTGTTCTGATGAGTTTTCATCTTTAGTCCCTCAACATTACGAATTTAAACACCGTACTAGATTGGCAATTAGGTCTCATCATTTTATAGTTGAAATGGCTAGATGTAACTAACTTATATGTTAACAGTTTCTTCTCTTGCACTTCTCACTTATGGAACTCTTTTCTGGCTTCTTGCTTTCCAGTCATGTTTGATCTGCAAAGATTTAAATTCAATATCAATCATTATCTTTTGTCTTCTTAATTCCAGATCTTTTATTGTTCTTTCTCCTTAAAAATGTTTTTCTTTCATACTCTGTCATCCTTTGTACCTTAGTGGCATTAATACCTTGCTTGGGGTGAAATTGTTGCAGGTAGTATGCTGAGTGAGGTGTATCAGAAGATAAATTTTTATAAGGTGAAAGTTATGCGTGTTTGCAATTTAGATTATCCCACAACAAATAGATTACACAAAGAACATAAGGACAATTGCATACCAAGGAATGACTGAACAACGTGATTAGAGATCAACAATAAAGAGATTTTTATATACAATAAATACACATGCAAAGATAAATAGAATTTTTGTTGGTTTGGTAATTGAGATAATGTTGTGAAGAATGTTCGTGCAGAATTGTGGTAAGTAAATGCTGAGGCATTTGGCTTGTTATAAAAATTAGAATAATTTTTGTTTCTGCATAGTAAAATATCAAAATGTATTGTTCAACTGTTAGTGTGTGTTATTTATGAGTCAGAATTAAAGTTGCTAAGAGTTGTTTGCCTTTCACTGATAGGCTAAATTGATGAATGTACAATTACTTTGACGTAGTGAAAATTTTCACCCTTTAAGTCAACTGTAGGTGATGAATATCCACGCGGACAATAGTTATTTGAATGCTGCGTTGAGTTTGTTGAGAAATTTTAAGTGGTTGTGAGTCAGTAAATTGAACAGCATGGAATTTGTGTGGATCTCTTGAAATTTGATGACTGACTGACTTGAATTGAGTCATGTGTTTGTTTATATAGAGTTGGGTGTTTAAAATTCAGCTCCAGGGGCTTTAGGCGGGAAAAGGTTCTGTTGTGACTTTGCGACAGTTTTAACTAATAGAAGATTGAATTTTACTGAAACGAAATGTTGATTGGTTAAGGCTTTGTTTTATAGAAGGAAACATTTTTCCGAAAGGGGTGGAAGGTTAATATGGAAGATTCCACAAAATCATTAAAAAAAAAAAAAGATTTACTGCTTTTAATTTAATGACAGCATCTCTACTTCTTTATGTTTTGTAAATACTAGAGACATCAGAATTAAGACAATGGAATAATATGACAGAAATCTGAAGGTGCAGTGAAATAACAAAAGTTGCCTTTCAAAAGCTAAGCAAGGTATTAAGAAACAGGAAAATCTCATTAGAAACAAAGAAAAGAATGCTGGATTGTTATCAATCTTTTGATGTAGCAGTGAGGGCTGAGCAATTTCCTCACAGATGAAAAGGAGCTAACAGAGATGTGGTTCTACAAAAGAATGCTGAGAATACCATGAACTGAACATGAGAGCAATGGGGATGTTTTAAGGAAAATAAGAACAAAAAGGTCACGTGTACTTGGAAACATTTGAAATTGACAAATAATAAGGAAACTGTGTGATCTTGTGTAAATAGCAGAACAGGAAGTGGGAAGAATAGTAAGGGGACAGACATTGCTTAGTGCTACAAACGATAGGAAGTTGTGGAGATCCATATACTACCTACCTAATGAGCTTGTGAAGCACATGACAGAACAGGAACTGGAAAGATAGTAAGGGAACAGATATTGCTTAGTGCTACAAACGATAGGAAGTTGTGGAGAGCTATGATCAGCCATATCCTGAAGGGACATGGCATATAAAAAAAAGGAAAGTAATTTTAGTAATCTTTAACCTTAATGCCTGCCAAAAAAATGTTGTTTCAAAAGGGACCGTTTTTCTTTGACACCGCTATTATTTTCCTCGGCAATGTTTATTGTTTTAAAAAGCAATGATTAGATTTTTTTTTTTTTTTAAGCATTCAATGCCAAGAAAGGCGGAAAGTCACTAGCACGCAAGGGGTTACAGAGAGTTGAAGCGAGAGCAAAGAGGAGAGGATGAAGAGTGGGTTAGGGGATAGGTCAAGGCATCTGGGGACGTCGATTGACGTTACATTTGAATAGCTGGAGATTATAGCTATCAGGAAAACAAGAAATGGGGAGGGAGTTCAACAGGCGAGAGCTCTGAGACATGAAGCTATTGGAGTAGAAGAGATGGCTACATTTAACAGTTTCGACAGTGAAAGGGTGAGAGTGAGATGCCAGCCTAGTAGAACGCTTAAATTCATGAAGTCTAGGAACCAGCGAAAACAGCTCATCGGAGCAGTTACCGTGAAAGTATTTGTAAAAAAGACAGAGAGAGGCAACGGCACGTCTGTGAGAGAGCGGCTGCAGACGAGATGCCAGATCAGGGCCAATTACATTGCATATAGGTCTTTGGATTTTATCAAGGACCTTGAGGCAATTAGAAGGGACTCCAGACCATATATGGCAGCAATACTCCATGCAAGGGAGAATGGTTGATTTGATGAAAGTGAATTTATACATTTTTTTTTCTTGAGCAAGATTTTTATTGCTTCAGCAATCCTATGAACTCTCTTGTAATCCTACCAAAACCAGGAAATAACATGCCCATGTATGCCATTCTGTTATAACGGGGTGGTAACTCTATTTCAACGTTTTCCTGTATGAAGGAATGTAACAGTGGTCATGCGTCCTGGGTAAGACGATAAGCTACGTCCAACAGTAAGGCCTCTGATAATACATGTTTGAAAAAATAATGTTGCCAGCTGTACGTTTTTTTTTGTTTTTTTTTTTAAGAATAGTGTTGCCGGCTATACGTTTTTGAAAAAATAATATTACCAGCTGTACGTTTTTGAAAAAATAATATTACCAGCTATACGTTTTTGGAAAAATAATATTACCAGCTATACGTTTTTGGAAAAATAATATTACCAGCTATACACTTTTGACGAAAATATATTAACAGAAATAGATTTTTGACAAAACAAAAATATTACCAGGAAAAAAAAAGTTGTCGGCATTAAATGACCCATTGAGGTTGATATGCCGTAAAACACAAAACAAACCAAACAGTGGTCATACAGTTAACAAGAAAAAATAGATGGAAGTCGCTGCTGATGTCTTAGTTAAGCTTGACTGCCGTGGAGGCCCGCTACTAATGACAGCCTTGTCGGTCGAATCTACCTTCGTGGATGAAATAAATGTTAGTTTAATAGTAAGTTACTACCTCAGTAATGGCTGCTGCGAAAACTGCATGGGCCTTTTAAGATTGGTTAAAAAAGATGTTTTATGACCCTGGTATTTTTTAACTGTATTCCGGAAGTGCATGCGCGGAACCGGGCGAAATTTATGTCTGTTTTTTGTTATATGAGCTGTGGATGTCAACGTGAGCACTTCCGTTTGAGTTAAATAATTGGAGCCCTGACATGGATATAAGAGAGTGGTACCCTTGGTTGAACGCTTTACTGAATGAGAATGCCTTATTACGATTTCAACCAGGAAATAAGATTAAATAGCGAAAAAAAAAAACTCTTGAAAACAAATTAAGTGTCGAGGAGAATAAGGAAAGTAAAAATGGAAATAATAATTAGAAGTCATGAAATGAGTTTGGAAAAAACTCTAGGAAGATTCGAATTTGAAATAAGCCAATTAGAATTCATTAAAATTCAATAAGACTAGATCTTCCCCATCCTCACCAGTTGCCTCTGGGGCAATATAACAAAGATTTATGGTTTTCTGAAATCTCCCCAGATTCCAGAAGAGACATTTTGCTATATTTATATAAAATATCGCCTGGTTCACACTCCTCCACAGTCTTTTGAACAGGAGTAGAGGTTTAACCCATGTTTCCTGTTTAGGATTGGGTTTCCGATTCCTTCTAAGTTTTTCTCTTTCACTCCTCGTAGCCCCCCTCCCCGCGTCTTAGTGTCATTATCAACTTTACTTGGGGTGAATTGATTAAAAAAGAGTACCCTCCCAACTGTTCATATTGTTACCAAAATTCAGACAAGGGG